CCTCTTGTCATCAACAACTTGCGGGCCTGCGCGCGCGGCGCGGCGGGCCCGCACCACCATGTCCAGATCACGGCTGCGGCGCGCGCCGACCTGGAGTGGTGGGACGCGGCTCTGACTCTGTTCAATGGCCGCCGCCGCCTGCTGGGGCGGGCGGCGGCGCCAGAGCTGGTGTTTCAGACTGACGCGCGCGGCATTTGGGACTCGGAGTACCCGGCCGTGGGCATTTTCATCGATGGGGGGTTCTGCGCCTTTAGCGCCGACGAGCTGCGTTACATGAGCGCACGCCCGGAGCCGGAGCCGGTGGCGGGCGCGGCGCCCGCGCTGCCGCCCGCCCCCGGCGACGGGGATCCCATACAGCTTTGGGAGTTGTACGCGGTGGTGGTGGCCGCGCACCTGTTCCCGGCCTCCTTGGGGGGGCGCCGTTGCCGCGTCCTTGTGGACAACGGCAACGTGCACGCGTGGCTTACCAAAGGCACTGTCAAAGGGGACGTGTGCTTTGACGCCGCCCTGGTTTACCTCAAATACATATTCGCCCTCTCGGTCCAGTTTGACTTTCGGCTGGAAAGCGAGCACGTTTTGGGCGTTGACAACGGCCTGGCCGACGCCCTCTCGCGCGAGCAGTGGTCGCGGTTTGGCGAGCTGCTGCGCGCGTGGGCGGGCCAGCAGTGCCCGCGCTCCCCGCCCCCTGTTCTCACCTGGTTGCAAACCCCTACCCCGGCCAGGCGCCCCCTTGTCGGCAGCGGTGGCCACCCTGCTGGTTGAGGCGGCGCGGCTCGAGGCGGCGGCGCTGGCGCCCAGCACTGGGGCCCAATACCTGCTCCACGTGCAGTGGTGGTGGCGCTGGCTGCTCGTGTTTGGGCTGGAGGAGCACGGGCGGTCGCCCCCCGAGTGGGTCCTCTCGGCTTACCTGGCGTTTCTCGCGCGCAGCTGCGCGGCGGGTAGCGCCCACAATTATCTGAAGGGCCTTAAGCACTTTTACAGCGGCATGGGCGTCTCTTTGGATTGGGCGGGGTTCATACACCTGCGCCGGCAGCTGGCGGGGCTGCGTCGCCTGAAGGGCGAGGGCGCGGGCCGGAAGCTGCCTATCCGGCCCCCGCTCCTCTTGCGCATGGCCGCGGTGCTCCCCGGGGGCAGCCGCTGGCACGCGCTGTTTGTGTGCTGCGTCGTTGGGGTGCTGGGCATGCTGCGCCGCTCCAATCTGGTGCCGGGCGCGCTGTCCCTGTTCGGGCAGGAAAAGCACCTGACGCGCGCAGACATCACGATTGACGGGGCTAAGTACGCGCTGCGCCTGCGCGTGCATTACTCCAAAACACTGCAATACCAGAGTCGCGTGCACGATGTTTAGATCCAAGGGGACGCGCGCCCCGGCGCGCCCCTGGACCCGGTGCGCCTCTGGCAGGGGTTCGTGGGCGCGGTCCCGGCCCCGGCCGACGCCCCTGCGTTCAGCTATTTCGACGACGCCGGGGCCCTGCGTTCTTTGTCGTTTGACGCTCTGGCCGCGGGCATCAAGCACCTGGTGGCGGCGGTCGGTTTGGACCCGGCCAGCTACTCCACTCACAGCCTTCGGCGCGGTGGCGCCACCTGGGCGTTTGAGCACAAGGTGCCCACGCTCCTCATCAAGGCGACTGGGGACTGGAGCAGCGATGCGTATGAGGCGTACCTGACTCTGGGCCCGGGCGAGAAGCTGCAGTGCACGGGCGCCATGCTGCGCGCGCTTTCGCGCTGAC